ACTAGAACAAATTATTGATTCCATCGGTAATTATAATTAAAATTTAATATATAAGAGATAATTTTTTAATAAATATTATAATAAAATACAACTAATCAATGATCAATTAATAACGATTGTAGAATTGTCATAAATTGTCATAAATTGTTATTGATCAATAAATTTATTAAAATAATATATTTCAAATTTCATATATTTTACATAGACTACTACTTTTCTGAGTCCGAATAACGAATATTACAATAGTTGACGCATTTGCAGAACCAGAAAATAAAATACTAAAATAAAATTAATCTCTTTGATGAAAAAATATTGAAAGTTACTTTTAAACGATATCACGTGATTAAATGTAACGTGCATAACTGCAGCTTTGCTCGAAATTCTGGTTGGTGCAAATTATTCGATGCAAATTATACTGCAAATGCATATTTACAGAAGCTACGTTTATGTCAAAGCTGGGTACGTAACGACTCTGTGCGAGACAAACGCGGAGCGCACAAACGAATATATATCTTACAACACGGTCGAGAGAACATATCCGTTCTAGAAATGGGCATACGGCTATCTCTCTAAACTCTCAGCCCTTTCTCCAATTTAGACACATAATAACGTGGGCGCAATCGAACTATAACGCTGAGTGTCGTCGTGTCGTAAAAGCGCGCGCGAGCTCTTCATTTAAATACGTATTACCAACTTCGGTCAACCGTGTGTATATCTATTTCCATCAACAGATATCATTGTTCTGTATATCGCATCGCCGCGATATAATACGACGACCGTAACAAACCACATGGGTACCTCGTTCTGATATAAAGCGTACGACAGTTAATAAAATGTTTGTTTCTCTAGCCTCTAATATTCATCATGTAGTAGAATAAGTAGAATATCTTCTTTGATAATCGAATATCTTCTCTCCTTAACGCTAAAATTCAAGTTTTTAGATATACGTAATTCAAGTCTTTTATATCTATTATACTTTTTATCGTTATTATTACCGATACTTTTTATTCATTATTGCATTTTTCGTTTTACATGTGTTTTTGTTGGCAATGCGAAATCAGCAATGTCTCCGTGAGATATTCAATTTCATCATAAATAATCGACTATTTAATGATACTCCATTAGCGCATCTATACGCTGGCTAAAATGATAGGCTGGTTAAATAAATGCTAGCGTTCACAAAGTAATCATAGATAACAGCGTAATTTGTTAAACACGTAATGTAGAAATAGAATTCCAGTACGTCACGTCAAAAGTTGCATCAACTATTTGCGAAGATACATCGTCAGCACATCAAAGGAACGTCTAGAATAGGCGTGTAAATCAGCGACCGGGTTTGGTCTTTTGAATACAATAGCGCCCAAGGAGGTTTATGTAAGCAACGATAAAATTGGGAGTTTATTTGCTCACCATTTTGGCAAAGAAAGTTCTTAATGGCATCTTACGTTTTTGCAGAGTTTAAATTCTCATTCTGTTTCTTAAAAGCGTATGTTGTGAAAAAGAGAATTCGTTATCTTTTCGCTATGAATTTTATTTGCTTGATATTAATCATTTTTCATGGTAAATCTTTAAATTTATGAAATTTAATAATAGCATGATCAACATTGCAATCTAAAAAAATAGCAGGAAGCAGTTTTCAGAAAAGAAACATTTCATATGAATTTCAGATCTAAAAGCAGCTGTGCTTGTACATAATCATATGATTACGATTGCATGATGCTTGTGATATCTCATGAACTTTAAGTGTTTTTTTTCAAATTTGCATATTTACACATTATCTTTATATTTTATATTTTTCGTAATGATAATGGCCGGAAGCAGAACGAAAATACGCTCTTCTGTTTCTGCGAATTAGAGCAGCGGCCATCTTTCAGTCACGGTTCAGGGAGCAGGGTGATACTGTTTGTCTGTCCAATATTTTTCAAAGGAAGATAATCTGTCTAATGTCACCATGGAAAGAAAAGAGTTCTTGTAAAATTCTAAAATAAAAGTCAGATCAACTGTATCACTTTTGATAGCTTCATAACAAAGCACTATAGCATTGCAAAGAGAACAAGCTTTTCCGCGATACTGTTCAGATATTATCTTTAAAGACAATTTATGCGACATCTTATTTTACTAATAATAACCTTAAATTAAAGAGTTGTGGTATGTAATATAATAATATAATTTATAAATTGAAGAACAGAAAAATTATTTATTCTTCCGAAATTATTTTCGTAAGTTAAAAGCGGGATCAATATTATCTCCTGCTTGAAAATCTAACAATAAATATTAAAAAAGGGATAATTTAAAATTTAAGACATCCAATGTCGTTTTACGACTTGAAAGAATAGCGGTTTTATATAGGTACATATGCAGCTCGGGAACCCAATGTAGTTTTATGGCTTAAAGGTAAATGCATGAATTATGTTCATTATGTCCGCCATTACGTTCAGCTATTTCGCTTTACCTCCAAGCCACAGAATGACGCGGGTTGTGGTAGCTCAACGCTTTACCTACCATATACTCTAATATACTAGGAAAACATATCAAGCACAAAATTAAACGCCCACAAAATTACAGCTACCTCTTAAATGTATCTCTAATCTTCATATAGTTTTTTACTTAGTTTCTTAGCATTCCATATTAGTTTACCCTTGTTATATCTTCTGCAAATAATTATTATGAATCTTATCAACATATATAATTATAATATTCACTGCACCATTTCAAATATGCTTATTCTATTACAATACATATACAGTGTAAATTAATAAGTGTCAAATATTTTAGGGACGTATTTCCAAATATTACAAAAAGTTTATATAAACATAAATAGCGTTTAATGTTCGACAATATTTAAATGTTTACTAGTTCCATCAATTGTTCGACATTGTTAAACAATATAATTCCTCCTATCCAAAAAACTAAACGTTTCTAGACACATGTTCTCTTTTTTATTTGGTCGATAGAAATATGTCCCTAGAATATTTAATAATTATTAATTTACATCCTGTATATTGTTGATATTTTCATATAAAAAATTAAATTAACAATTAACGATTAAATATGTATTACGTTAATATTACGTATGTGATTTGACGCAGGTGAAATGCAATAAACCGCTATATTTTATATATCATATTACGCGTTATATTACCTGTAATATCTCGTAATGTTTCGATATGTTATTATATTTGATTAACAAGATTCAATAATGCAATTTTTTTTCATATGTCGACGCTCTAGTAAATATTAATTCCGAAATAATTACATGAGATAGGAGAATCGCAATATCGCGTTACAAGCATGATACAATACAGGATTGTACCTGATCGGGGCAGGAACATGCTGAAATTGCCGGAATACAATTGCGACGTGTTATGCTTCTCAGTGCATTCGAGAGAGGATCACGTAACACGTAGAGATATCAACTCTCAGGTGCACCGACGCGTTACGCAATGCACGTAGGTGAAATGACCGATTGAATATGACAACGCGCGCCATATTGCAGCACGCATTTGCAATTTGCTATAAATCCCTTAATTAGATCATCAGTGCAATATTTCAGGATTGGCAAAAAAATTCAGTGAATGGAAAAAAACCATCCATGATAAATTTTAGATTTTATCGTCTTGGACTTTACCCAATGAAATAAACTAACAAAAATGATAAAAACGATTAATATGCAATAATAAAATGTTTATGTACTTTATGAAAAAGATATTTTAATTAGTAAAGGGTATTAATCACTAGTCACGCGCAATAGTTTAAAGAAAACGAAACAAACCTATAATAACAAAATATTTTACAATAAAGTATCTTTTAATTCAATTTAATATGTGAAATATATTTTTAAAACAAGAACTTTGGAGATAATATGTATATAATATAAATGTTGTTAAATTTTATATTAATTTTGAGTTTTATGAGAAAAACATAATAACAATAAAATTAAAATTGCTTATTAATATAAATCTGGTTCGTTGTACAATATTTTATGACAAAAAATTAATTTATTTGTTACATCGATTTTTAATCTATTACGGATGTTATTTTGAATAAAATTTAAATTGGAAAACATTTTTTCAATTGACGTTAAACTAGAATAGTGATTAGAATATCGATAACAAAATTTTCTGTTTATTGTTTTTAACAAAAAGACCAATTTTTATTTTTTTTCCAGTTATTTTTTCACCGGCATAGACTTTAAAATGTGAAATGTTGCTCATCATGATATTTGTTAACAAAAATTAGAAAATAAGTCGATCAATTCAAACAGAAGAACAAAAGAAATAAGAATTGAGATATTTTTCAGGCCGCCTGAAAGAAACTGATTGTGAGATATAACTGCGATATTTAATTTCCGCAAAACAACGAGCATAACTTGCTTGCCCTTCTCATTAAAATTCAGCAAGCTTGCAGAAAGCGGCATCCGTCCGATTGTTACATTATGCAAGCGAAAAAAGTGAGAAAATAGCTGACTTCTCGTACTAAGATAACTTCCATGCAGCCGTGATACATTAAACGCAACAATGTTATCTCGCAAGCGCGTGGGCTATTTCCTTCCAAAAGACCTGCGGCGTCGCTCATAATCAACTCCTTATCCCTCTCGAAAGGTCAGCAACCACGTATCTCTAACCCTAAACTAAAGGCATCTGACACAGATATGCATATGCGAAAGTCCTGAATATTATCGCGCATTACGACTGTTACCCTCTTCACATTTGATCCTATCAATTCCCAGCACAAATTACGCTTTGAAATTAGTATGGAATTGTTGCAAGCCGTACAGGGTTTACAAACATCACGCATAGTATACAATTTCCTATGAATTATATTACACAAACGTAATCACAGGAAACGTTTAATTAGCATATATTCCATGATCTATTTTATCCAAATCTATTTTATAATCCGGATATATGTCACAGTCAATTTTTTACATTTCAATTCCTATAATCTTTGATGATCGATACCTATTGAAACTTTAACCAACGTCTACTTTTGTTTTACAGAGACGAACGAAGCATCCCTCTCCAGAGACTATCAGAGATAAATCGTTTCAGGACGTACGTACTCAGCACGAAGAATTTAAAGAGCCAATTTCATCGAGCAGCGACTTGATTGTGCATTGAAAATCGAAAAATCGGTAAAGAGGTCCAATCGTTGGAATCCACTTTGCAGTAAATTATTGATTTTACTAAAAAAAAAAAGAAACGTTAATTATGATTCATTACAAAATTATTAAGATTACGCGTGAGTGATAAGTGCACGTAATAAATTGACAAATGTCCGCGAATAAACACGGCGAACGAAATAATTAAGTCGTTAAATCAAGATTAATGTAAGTGTAAAGAAGCAAGAAAGAATGAAGCTTAGGAAATCAGTGTCGAACGATCCTGTTAATCGGCGCTTAATGAGTGCCGCGTGAATGTGCGGAAAAGAGGACAACTACCGAGATGAAACTGGGAGATAATATGACTATGGAAGGTGAGTAAATTCTAGCTATAGAATGATTGACGTATTACTCATTTCTGATGAAGAGTGATTTGTTAAAATAGTATGCGACAATTTCTTAATATAGTGTGATGTTTAATCTAGAGGTGTCTAGAATAATTATATCTCTAACTCCATCATAGTTATTATTTTTAACTCACTACGTATGCATATCAAAGTAATATCGGATCAAGAATTTTCTGCTTCTCGTGACATTATGAAGACAAACAGAATTTTTTCCATAATTTCCGAATATTACGATTTATTTTTAAAAAATATGAAATTAACTAAACTTTCCATGTAATCTAGTATCCTGAATATAAATCTCAAATAACTCGTTGCGTGCTACAAACTGATATTTCAAATCGTTAAAAACGTGGGATCAACCTTGAAAGTTTCACAACTAAGAAGTATATTAGTGGAAGTAAAAGTTCAAATTTATTAATCGTTCAACACGCACACACACACTTCTATTTAACACTATTCACATATTTTTTGCAAAGACGACATGATGTTCGTTGAAAATGTGCCTCAACTCTTTGGCTTCTCTCGCGCGACCTTCGATCCAACTTTGAATCCGACAAAATCGTGCAACATTTGTCAGACATTAAATGTGCAAACACGACGAGAGCTAGTAAAATACACGACGCTAGGTTTTCAACGACAAGACGAATGATGTGATTAATTTTGTACTTGACAAAACTGAAGAAGTAAACACAAAATTTATAACTCAGATTTATTAGTTTTATATGGGACACATCTTACTCTATATTCCCAAAACGCCACTATGAAATTTTCTTTTAAGATCGTCAGATAAAATAAACTTGACGTGTTTTAAGATTAGCTTGGGAAAATATAAGACGATATAAGGCGACATCTTGAAGGACATCTTATATTTGCACTTAGTTTTTCTCAAGCCTGTTCTGAATATGCCACAGCATATGAATCGTGAATATAAATAACAATTTTATATATCCAGAGCATATAATCCTTGTAAGATAATAAATAATTCATTTAAAGAATGAAGCGATGTGTAACATGCAAATCAGGTTAATACGAATGTAGGCGCTTAAACGGGTATTAATCAATACTCTAATTGGAGAGATAATAATTATATTTCATTAATCGTATGTCGAAAATAAAAAGAAATCGTAGCAGACAGAAAATATCTACAAATAAATTTAAATTTTTTGCTCGAATTCTGGAGCATTTTCTAACAAAAACTAAGATGAAAAAGTCTTTTTATATGTTGTAGATCTATATGTACTTTATTGAAATAAAATCAAATTATCAATTGATATGCATTCAATATTAAATAATAAATCTAAATGTCCAAAATATTTTAACATATTTTTAGTATCAATAAAATAATTATTAATATTATTACATATAACATCAAGAAAATTCACATTGTGTAAGTATTCTGCGATATATAGATATAAATTTACATAAAATATATAGAAGTTATTTCTCATAAAAGTTATTTCTCAAGGCATCTTCTTAACATGACACAATTTTTTAACAAGCAATGCAATCTACAACTCGCGAACTACAATAGATATATGTAAATGAAATTCACAGCCCGTACCTCGAAATAATTAATTTAATTCTACACAGCGAAGAATAGCATTCGATATAGCACAGCGAAGCAGTTGACGCGCTTGACTTCGTTGAGAAAATATTCACTCGTAGTAAAACGGGTGAAGCATTTAAACAAGACGTAATTTACTGCGACTGTAAAATGGTGGTAAGCTACAAATGTTCGCGGCGCGAAGATCGTTTCACATTTTACTGCCAGTAAGATATAAAAATGAAATACAAATTTTATTATTGTAAAAGCGCAAGTCAATGATTTTTTATTCACGCAGCTTTTAACATATACTAGACTTCATATATATATATATATATATATATCAAAATATAAATATCAAAATACAAGAAAATTAATTTACTTGAAATTGCTTTAAGATAAATACACATATTTACATAAGAAAAAATATACCTATATAATGCAAGATAAACATATAACGCGAAAAAAGTTTGGAGGAAAAGCTTTTAAGAGGTTTCTCTGTGTACAGAAAACAAAAATAACATTATTGTTACGAAGCACTACTACTTTTGCTTCACACTGCTACAATATATAAAAATAAAGTGTTTTTTTTTATTGCCTTTTTTGTTTCATATTTTCTTGCTACTATATTAATATTGTATACGGGATTTCTTTTTTACAGCGGTTTTTTTGCAGCTTTGTTTCGAGAAAGTCTTCCACAAATAATCATTTTTTTCACTTGTTATCTAAAATACAATTCGTTGAAGTACATAATTTTTGTAACTCTCAGCTAATATTAGTGTTAGTATCATAGATATTGCATCGACACTTTCTTGATAATACTGACATTAATGTTTGCGAACTGAAGAATATCATAACATTTTATTTTAATCTATTATTTTATAGATTAAAAGATAGATTATTTTATATCTCACTTCGCAAACTTAACATTAAAACTTTCATCAAAATTATTTCGTCAATTATTTCGATTATTTTTTTGGAAGAAAAAAAAAGTAGACAATATTTTGTACTCGGATTTATTTACTTAAGGTTTTATGTATTCAAATTTACTTAATTTACATTAATAACTATGAAATATGATTATAGTATAAGAAAGTAAAAAAGTGGAAAAATAGTTGCTGTAAATCTTTGTCACAATTTTTCACTTGGCAATAAATAATATTAACAAATATGAAAGTACGAAAATGTAATCTCGAAAATGCAAAAAGATAATTCAATTGTTTTGTTACGTTAGCATACGAATTTGTTGAATTGCTCCAAAAGATATATTCTATGGTAAGTTTTTTCGCTGAGATCATCAATGATATGACGAGTGTCGGAAATCTCTTTGCCGTTAGTAATCTGACTTTTCTCTGCAGAAAAGCTGTAAAAATGCTTCGCATGACGTTTGAGAATCGTCTTCGACAATTCAGAGAAGATTTCGCGTTTGTTGAAGGAAAAGAAATTTACGTTCACAAAGAACATTTTTACGTTTCAATTAATTTTAGGAAACAAGTTTTATGATTATTTCACGTTGTAACGATTACATCTCGATTGTAATAGTTTTTCTCGACGTAATAGTTTTTTCATTTTTTTTGTTTCTTTAGAAATTATCCTATATCATTTTACTTTTCGCAAATTTAAAGCGATGTATTATTATAGTCGTAAATGTGACAATATAATTAAGTTTTGTCTTTCAGAGAATATTTCGCTCATCCGAAAGCTATTGTTGATTTATAATATCGCATGGCATACGTTGGAATTATCTGAGAATATCCCAAGTAACACATTTCAATTACATTGCTGCGGAGCAGTGTGATGTAATGAAAGTAAATCAGATTAAATTAAATCCCGAAATTTCTCATGAAAGAGAGAGGAGAGAATAGGGCGGAGATCAGCATATCACGACTCTTAATCAAGTTCCCACTGATTAATAGTCTCGTTGTCGATTACAAATGAAGCTATATTTCTCTCTTTTCTTTGTTTCTCTTTCTCCCTTTCTCTTCTCTTTCTTTTTTTCCTCTCTCTTTTTAATTTTCCTTTTCTGTCATTCTCTCTTTCTCCTATCTCTTTTTCTATCATTTTAGATACAGCGAATATACAAATAATCTCTGATTGATAATTTGACATTGCTATTTTCTCTGTGCTTCGTTCGAATATGCAACGTGTTGAAATAAACAACCATTCAACGTACTAATTACAGTTGCAAGTAAATGTTACAAAGCATTACAACAATGCAGTTTATAGTTATCTTATTTATAATATCTGTATTTTCAAATAAATAAGTTAAAGATTAATTCAATTTTTCTATGATTTTATCCAATTTTTGTTGCCATTTAGAAATTGTTTTGGAGTACTTAAAAAATGTGACAGAAAATATTATAATTTTAATAAACATAATTATAAATATAAATGTAATTTTTTTATTAAATAAATTAAAATATTTATGTATTACACTTTTGCGTCAACTTTCTTTTATAAGTTAGATATAATTGATTGATTTGACATTTGTGTGATGTTGTAACGCGATACGTCAACAAAAAAAAATAAATTTCTCTCTCTCATCAAGTAACGCCTTTTTGAAAGTACCTGACTTTCGGAGAGGTAGAGTTCGTAACTCTGTTGTACTGATAAAAACATTCACTGTGTAATGTTTGCTCTGTCAGCATCTAGAGCGTACAATTTAATAGTTTTATCTCCGAGTTTAACTTTAAAACTTCGCGGTCCTTATATAGAAATGTTTAATCTTACCGTAAGTATGTGGTAGCTGAGATCGAAGTACAATCTAGTTTACGCTTTTTCCTCCGCATCAATCAAAAGGAATTTTATTAAAAAACTTTCAAAATATCATCAAAAAGATTTAAATATTACGTAAAAGTATATGATATTTGATATTTGACTATTTTTTTTAAGATTTTCTTTATTTAATAAAAGTATAGTTTTCTTCTACTTTTCTTACATTGCTAAGATTAATTAATAATTAATAAATCAGTTTGCATTAACTTGCAAGATTGGACGTTATATGTGCTGTTATAATCAAATTCGATTATTTTGAAAAGGATTATAAACTAACGATGTGTGTTATATACGAATTGTGTTCAGGAAAAAGGCTACTCAACTTTTTTTCAATTTGCGGACACTGACAGTTTGTATTATGAAACAAATTTTTATAAAACAGTCGACTACGCATATACGTTCTTTCGATATAGCAAGTCAGTGTAATCACAAACGTTAAACAGATCTTTTTGACATAAAAATATGTTTCTCAACACAACAAACATTCAAATGTCAAAAAGATATACTCTTTTTTGCTCTTGGAGCTTATGACAACAAAATTCAGATAGTAATTTTACATATAGTTACTTCATCAGAGTTTTGAGAGTAAATATTTCTCCGAAGTTCGAAAATTGACGAAAGAACTACCTTGATTTTAAAATTTATATTA